TCACGAGCCTCGGTTTTGGGCTTGGACCTCGGCCCATTGCGCATATGGCCCATTTACATTTATGTTTTCAATATATATGTGTGATTCATTTCATTTTACGGTATGTTCTCAAACCCTATCATCTTCCAATCTTCCTCTCTTGCACTTTTATTCTCCTCGTCCGGCAGTTGACTTGACCATCGGAGTGCGAACGATCGCTAGACCTTTTTCTTGACCCGCGGCCTTTGCCTCCTAACGGGGTGTTCAGTGTACAGGTGATGTCCACGTGGAGGAGACGTGGTAGGGATTCTGTTGAGTTCATTTTTTGGGGTCAGCAGATTGGCGGCATTAGTGGGAAACGGTATGTTAACCATGTTCTAGCACGTACCAAAAAGTCACAGGAAAATATAGTTTTATTTTTTCGGGCAGTTCTCGAGAAAGAAAAAAAGAGTTAGGACAGCCTCCAAAAGATGAAAAAAAAGGGGGGTCACTGGAAACATTTTGAATTTTTCCTTGAAGAAATGAACATTCCAGTAAAGGATTGAAAAATCCACTATGAAAAATGGCTATTGTCGGTTAATGGTTTGAGAAATCTGTCTTGAGAAATGGCCACGGCAAGCTGAAACGGGAAAAGGAAATTTTCCAACAGGTAGTTTCTTTCGACCAAAATACCAAAGAAATAGCCAAAAGAGTCGATGATTGGAGGATGATGCCAATGGAGGAGAAACAAAAAGTCAGTCTTCTATAATCCCACTTATTGGATTTGAAAAATAAAAAATCCTCATTTTCCATTTTGTGGCAAACAACAAGAAAATGAAGACAACCATGTTTACATAGGTCCCGGCAACAATGATTTGGACTTTGGAGAATGCTCAAACTTGGAGAATAAATATTATCTGGTTGCCACCTCAAAGGAATATTGGAATGCATCACTCACAAGGCTTCCAAAAATCTGAAAATGTTGCAAGCATTATTCATTCTTCAACAAAGAATCTCTCTGGTGCTTCTGCAACAATATTCGAATTTGAAATGGTGTTTGAATTGGGGCAAAAATTATAGGCTCACATGGGGAAAATTCTTCCTCCGGTAGTTCTTCCGACGCGACCATCGAATGTTTCCAGCCTTTGAAGCCACTGGAAAAGCTACAATCACGTGAATCCATTTTCCATTTTGACCGGTCTTTTTCACTAGCTTGTGGGTTTTGTCCAATGTTCAATGCAAAAGGTATGTCAAGAATTAATGGTAGAAGTGACTTAGTGCTTGTTTGGTATGGATATTTAGAGAAATAATTGATTTTTGAATAGTGATATGATGGGAAATGTGTGGTTGAAAAAGAAGAAAAAATTATTGATGTGATGGAAAATATTATTTTATTGAAAATGTATGGTTAAAAATGAGAATAATCAATTCTCAAATAAAAAA